TTCTATTGGGTAAAGTGACCTACGTGACTTTACCCAATAGAACCAAAGAGCAAGTTTGTCTTTATTTATTAATTAATTTTTAAGCGTTAGCACCACGGATAGCGATTTGACAGTTTGTTTAGATGGACGAGTCCATCTATGTTCGCTGTCCGTGGTGCTAACGTTAATAAATAAATAAACACGAACCGCCACTTCTTTCAAATGTTCTTGCCGTTGGTTTTCACACCTGATGATGACTGCTTGTGTTGCAGTCGAAACGTCGTGAGAATTTTATTGTTTTATATATATTTTATTGTTTCCCTTCAACGTGACTTTACCGAAAGAACCAAGAATATACCTCGCCTTGTATGCAGGAGGTCCTGATCCTGAACTCTGTATATTTGGGGTCTGCGTGTCTCCCTCTTCCTCTCTCTCCGCCGTGGTCGCGTGGATTTTACCCCGGGTCCTCCGGTTTTTACCTCCGCATTTATAATAATTCGTTTTGAATATTCGGCTAACGCTATGAATTTCCACGTGACGATGATAATCCCATTCTTTGAGCTCTCATCTGTGGTAGGCCAGGGTCGCTACGTAGCACCTCAGTGGGGCATTACCTGGTAAAATAAAAATAGTTAATATTTTGAGTATGGGTCTCGATGAGTATGGGTCTCTATGGGTCTCTGTAGATTTCTATGGGTCTCTGTGGGTCTCTATGGTTCTAAGTGGGTCTCTCTATCTCTGTGGGTCTCTATGAGTAAGGATCTCTATGGGTATCTGTAGATTTCTATGGGTCTCTGTGGGTACTCTATGGTTCTAAGCGGGTCTCTGTATCTCTGTGGGTCTCTATGAGTAAGGGTCTCTATGGGTATCTGTAGATTTCTATGGGTCTCTGTGGGTACTCTATGGTTCTAAGTGGGTCTCTCTATCTCTGTGGGTCTCTATGAGTAAGGGTCTCTATGGGTATCTGTAGATTTCTATGGGTCTCTGTGGGTCTCTATGGTTCTAAGTGGGTCAAAGTATCTCTGTGGGTCTATATAAGTAAGGGTCTCTATGGGTATCTGTAGATTTCTATGGGTCTCTGTGGGTACTCTATGGTTCTAAGTGGGTCTCTCTATCTCTGCGGGTCTCTATGAGCAAGGGTCTCTATGGGCATCTGTAGATTTCTATGGGTCTCTGTGGGTACTCTATGGTTCTAAGTGGGTCTCTCTATCTCTGCGGGTCTCTATGAGTAAGGGTCTCTATGGGTATCTGTAGATTTCTATGGGTCTCTGTGGGTACTCTATGGTTCTAAGTGGGTCTCTCTATCTCTGCGGGTCTCTATGAGTAAGGGTCTCTATGGGTATCTGTAGATTTCTATGGGTCTCTGTGGGTACTCTATGGTTCTAAGTGGGTCTCTCAATCTCTGTGGATCTCTATGAGTAAGGGTCTCTATGGGTCCCTGTAGATTTCTATGGGTCTCTGTGGATCTCTACGGTTCTAAGTGGGTCAAAGTATCTCTGTGGGTCTATATAAGTAAGGGTCTCTATGGGTATCTGTAGATTTCTATGGGTCTCTGTGGGTACTCTCTGGTTCTAAGTGGGTCTCTCTATCTCTGTGGGTCTCTATGAGTAAGGGTCTCTATGGGTATCTGTAGATTTCTATGGGTCTCTGTGGGTCTCTATGGTTCTAAGTGGGTCAAAGTATCTCTGTGGATCTCTATGAGTATGGGTCTCTATGGGTATCTGTAGATTTCTATGGGTCTCTGTGGGTACTCTATGGTTCTAAGTGGGTCTCTCTATCTCTGCGGGTCTCTATGAGTAAGGGTCTCTATGGGTATCTGTAGATTTCTATGGGTCTCTGTGGGTACTCTATGGTTCTAAGCGGGTCTCTGTATCTCTGTGGGTCTCTATGAGTAAGGGTCTCTATGGGTATCTGTAGATTTCTATGGGTCTCTGTGGGTACTCTATGGTTCTAAGTGGGTCTCTCTATCTCTGCGGGTCTCTATGAGTAAGGGTCTCTATGGGTCCCTGTAGATTTCTATGGGTCTCTGTGGGTACTCTATGGTTCTAAGTGGGTCTCTCTATCTCTGTGGGTCTCTATGAGTAAGGGTCTCTATGGGTATCTGTAGATTTCTACGGGTCTCTGTGGGTCTCTATGGTTCTAAGTGGGTCAAAGTATCTCTGTGGGTCTATATAAGTAAGGGTCTCTATGGGTATCTGTAGATTTCTATGGGTCTCTGTGGGTACTCTATGGTTCTAAGTGGGTCTCTCTATCTCTGCGGGTCTCTATGAGCAAGGGTCTCTATGGGTATCTGTAGATTTCTATGGGTCTCTGTGGGTACTCTATGGTTCTAAGTGGGTCTCTCTATCTCTGCGGGTCTCTATGAGTAAGGGTCTCTATGGGTATCTGTAGATTTCTATGGGTCTCTGTGGGTACTCTATGGTTCTAAGTGGGTCTCTCTATCTCTGCGGGTCTCTATGAGTAAGGGTCTCTATGGGTATCTGTAGATTTCTATGGGTCTCTGTGGGTACTCTATGGTTCTAAGTGGGTCTCTCTATCTCTGCGGGTCTCTATGAGTAAGGGTCTCTATGGGTATCTGTAGATTTCTATGGGTCTCTGTGGGTACTCTATGGTTCTAAGTGGGTCTCTCTATCTCTGCGGGTCTCTATGAGTAAGGGTCTCTATGGGTCCCTGTAGATTTCTATGGGTCTCTGTGGGTACTCTATGGTTCTAAGTGGGTCTCTCTATCTCTGCGGGTCTCTATGAGTAAGGGTCTCTATGGGTATCTGTAGATTTCTATGGGTCTCTGTGGGTACTCTATGGTTCTAAGTGGGTCTCTCTATCTCTGCGGGTCTCTATGAGTAAGGGTCTCTATGGGTCCCTGTAGATTTCTATGGGTCTCTGTGGGTACTCTATGGTTCTAAGTGGGTCTCTGTATCTCTGCGGGTCTCTGTGAGTCTGCAGAAACACACGTTTCGACAGTTATCTGGCTGCTGCTACAACTTTTCCACGTGATGACGACGAGGACGACGATGATAGGCCGCCAACTTCGTCTACCCAGCAATTGTGGTGGACAGGTACACTTCTGAATAAAAATCTACTCAGCACCCCAGTAGGGGGGGGGGGGGGGGGGGGTGGGAGGGGGAGGGGGGGGGCGGGCTTACCCGGTCAAATAAAAAGTGCTAAATAGTTCACGTAGGCCCTCCGACACCAACATTTTATCCACACTGGAGGATTGCCGGCTTAGATCGTGTGGCCATCGGTTGCGACGTTAAACCCGCCACCACCCAGGGACAGCCCGCTCGCGGGGAGGTTTGTAGCGTAGAACAACGCGTGGCCAATTCGTGGCTGGTACGGCAACCAGCCGGTTGTGTGTTGGAGAGTAAAACCACGACAACAGTTACAATTATAGTGTAGTGTATAGTGTAGTGTACAGTGTAGTGTATAGTGTAGTGTACAGTGTAGTGTATAGTGTAGTGTATAGTGTAGTGTATAGTGTAGTGTATACTAGTGTATAGTGTAGTGTATAGTGTAGTGTGTAGTGTATAGTGTAGTGTACAGTGTATTGTATAGTGTAGTGTATAGTGTAGTGTACAGTGTAGTGTATAGTGTAGTGTATAGTGTAGTGTATAGTGTAGTGTATAGTGTAGTGTATAGTGTAGTGTATAGTGTAGTGTATAGTAGTGTGCAGTGTAGTGTATAGTGTAGTGTATAGTTGTAGTGTATAGTGTAGTGTATAGTGTAGTGTATAGTAGTGTATAGTGTACTGTATAGTGTAGTGTGTAGTGTATAGTGTAGTGTACAGTGTATTGTATAGTGTAGTGTATAGTGTAGTGTACAGTGTAGTGTACAGTGAAGTGTGCAGTGTATAGTGACGTGTACAGTGTAGTGTGCAGTGTAGTGTACAGTGTAGTGTGTAGTGTAGTGTATAGTATAGTGTACAGTGTAGTGTACAGTGTAGTGTGCAGTGTACAGTGCCGTGTACAGCGTAGTGTACAGTGTAGTGTACAGCGTGGTGTACAGCGTGGTGTACAGCGTGGTGTACAGCGTAGTGTACAGTGTAGTGTACAGTGTAGTGTACAGCGTAGTGTACAGCGTGGTGTACAGCGTGGTGTACAGTGTAGTGTACAGTGTAGTGTACAGCGTGGTGTACAGCGTGGTGTACAGTGTAGTGTACAGTGTAGTGTACAGCGTAGTGTACAGCGTGGTGTACAGCGTAGTGTACAGCGTAGTGTACAGTGTAGTGTGCAGTGTACAGTGCCGTGTACAGCGTAGTGTACAGTGTAGTGTACAGCGTAGTGTACAGCGTGGTGTACAGCGTGGTGTACAGTGTAGTGTACAGTGTAGTGTACAGCGTGGTGTACAGCGTGGTGTACAGTGTAGTGTACAGTGTAGTGTACAGCGTAGTGTACAGCGTGGTGTACAGCGTAGTGTACAGCGTAGTGTACAGTGCCGTGTACAGAGTGGTGTACAGTGTAGTGTACAGCGTGGTGTACAGCGTGGTGTACAGCGTGGTGTACAGCGTGGTGTACAGTGTAGTGTACAGTGTAGTGTACAGCGTGGTGTACAGCGTGGTGTACAGTGTAGTGTACAGCGTGGTGTACAGTGTAGTGTGCAGCGTGGTGTACAGTGTAGTGTACAGCGTGGTGTACAGTGTAGTGTACAGCGTGGTGTACAGTGTAGTGTACAGCGTGGTGTACAGCGTAGTGTACAGCGTGGTGTACAGCGTGGTGTACAGCACCGTGTACAGTGTAGTGTACAGCGTAGTGTACAGCGTGGTGTACAGCGTGGTGTACAGTGTAGTGTACAGTGTAGTGTACAGCGTGGTGTACAGCACCGTGTACAGTGTAGTGTACAGCGTGGTGTATAGTGTAGTCTACAGCGTAGTGTACAGCACCGTGTACAGTGTAGTGTACAGCGTGGTGTACAGCGTAGTGTACAGCGTGGTGTACAGCGTGGTGTACAGTGTAGTGTACAGTGTAGTGTGTAGTGTAGTGTACAGCGTGGTGTACAGCGTAGTGCGTGCCGCGCGGCGTGCCGACCTGTTGTAGTCGCGCACCACCAGCAGCACGTTCTCCCTGAGCGCCCGCAGCTCGTCGCAGCGGCTGTACACGTCGGTGGCGTAGTGCGGCACCTCGAACGACATCCGGTCCCAGTAGAACACCTCGGCGAACGTCTTCAGCAGCGACCTGCGGCGGGGCGGCCGGGCGGCGACGGGGTCAGCGCCTTGACGCACGTGCGCGTGTGTGCGCGTGCGAGCGCGTGCGTTAACTCCTTTGAACGTACACCCCGTGGTGCCCTTTCAACTTTCGTACGTACGTACGTACGTACGGTGAACTCCCTTCAACGGTGAACTCCTTTCAAAGTTGAACTCCTTTCAACTTTCGTACGTACGTACGGTGAACTCCTTTCAACGGTGATCTCCTTTCAACGTTGAACTCCTTTCAACTTTCGTACGTACGTACGGTGTACTCCTTTCAACGTTGAACTCCTTTCAAAGTTGAACTCCTTTCAACTTTCGTACGTACGTACGTATGGTGAACTCCTTTCAACGTTGATCTCCTTTCAACGTTCAACTCCTTTCAACTTTCGTATGTACGTACGGTGTACTCCTTTCAACGGTGAACTCCTTTCAACGTTGAACTGCTTTCAACGGTGAACTCCTTTCAACGTTGAACTCCTTTCAACGTTGAACTCCTTTCAACGTTGAACTCCTTTCAACGTTGAACTCCTTTCAACGTTGAACTCCTTTCAACGTTGAACTCCTTTCAACGTAGATCTCCTTTCAACGGCGAACCCCTTTCAACGGCGAACTCCTTTCAACGTTGAACTCCTTTAAACGTGCGCATGCATGTACAGTAAAACCTTGGATTGCGAGTAACATTGGCCCGCGAGTGTTTTGCAAGACGAGCTAAAATTGTTAGGTAATTATTAATTCGACGAACGAGCGAGGGTCTTGCAATACGAGCAGTGTACGTGTAGACGCTTTGTACTGCCGAGCGTCACGTGATCACAACTGACGTACGAGTGCTTTGGATTGCAAAACACGTTTCCGCAACGAATCATGCTCGCAATCCAAGGTTTTACTGTCAAATGAAACAAATCGCGACGTTTCGATCGCAGCACAAGCAATGTTCATCAGGTGGAACAGCCACAGCAAGAAAACTGCTGAACAGCCGACTTATAACACTTTCTCCTGCGGAGGGAGCTGGTAGGAACGTTGGGTTGCTCGGTCAATGGCCAAGGTCAATGGGCGGCACCACGTGGTCTATTCCGCAAATATGCCCGACTGTGAGGGCGGGCACAAGCCGGCGTGAGTAGGTGAAACGCTGAGTTTTGTAAGGGCACCACGGGGTGACCAGCCCCTCCCCACCCAGCCCCACCCCTCACCCAGCCCCACCCAGCCTCTCCCCACTACTATACACTACACTACTACTATACACTACTATACCCTACACTACTTTACACTACACTACTTTACACTACACTACTACTATACACGACTATACACTACACTACTATACACTACACTACTTTACACTACACTACTATACACTACACTACTATACACTACACTACTACTATACACTACACTACTACTATACACTACACTACTACTTTTACACTACACTGCTACACACTACACTACTATACACTACACTACTATACACTATACTACTACACACTACACTACTACACTACTACTACACACAACACTACTATACACTACACTACTATACACTACACTATACACTACACTACTATACACCACACTACTATACACTACTATACACTACACTACTACACACTACACTACTACTATACACTACTATACACTACACTACTACACACAACACTACTATACACTACACTACTATACAGTACACTACTATACACTACACTACTACACACTACACTACTACTACACACTACACTACTATACACTACTATACACTACACTACTATACACTACACTACTATACACTACTATACACTACACTACTATACACTACACTACTATACACTACACTACTATACACTACACTACTATACACTACACTGCTACTATACACTACACTACTATACACTACACTACTACACACTACACTACTACTACACACTACACTACACTACTATACACCACACTACTATACACTACACTACTATACACTACATAACTACTATACACTACACTACTATACACTACACTACTATACACTACACAACTACTATACACTACACTACTATACACTACACTACTACTATACACTACACTACTATACACTACACTACTATACACTACACTACTATACACTACACTACTATACACTACACTACTACACACTACACTACTATACACTACACTACTACACACTACTATACACTACACTACTACACACTACACTACTACTACACACTACACTACTATACACTACACTACTACACACTACACTACTACTACACTACTACACACTACACTACTACTACACACTACACTACTACACACTACACTACTATACACTACACTACTACACACTACACTACTATACACTACACTACTACACACTACACTACTACTACACACTACACTACTACACACTACACTACTATACACTACACTACTATACACTACACTACTACACACTACACTACTACTACACACTACACTACTACACACTACACTACTATACACTACACTGCTATGCCATACCGTGTCAACCCAGAGGGTTTCCTCCATATTCTTGTAACAGGGAAATTTAGTTTCCAAGTCCACATGGCGTAACAGCCGTTTCACCACGGGCAAACAATTTAAATGTTTTTGTCTATTTGTTTCTGTGGGTATATGGTGAGGCGTGTGGGTAGGTGAGTGGGTAGGCGTGTGGGTAGGTGAGTGGGTAGGCGTCTGGGTAGGTGAGTTAGTAAGTGTGTGGGTAGGTGAGTGGGTAGGCGTGTGGGTAGGTGAGTTAGTAGGTGTGTGGGTAGGTGAGTGGGTAGGCGTGTGGGTAGGTGAGTTAGTAGGTGTGTGGGTAGGTGAGTGGGTAGGCGTGTGGGTAGGTGAGTGGGTAGGCATCTGGGTAGGTGAGTTAGTAGGTGTGTGGGTAGGTGAGTTAGTAGGCGTGTGGGTAGGTGAGTTAGTTGGCGTGTGGGTAGGTGAGTTAGTAGGCGTGTGGGTAGGTGAGTTAGTAGGCGTGTGGGTAGGTGAGTGGGTAGGCGTGTGGGTAGGTGAGTTAGTTGGCGTGTGGGTAGGTGAGTTAGTAGGCTAGGCGTGTGGGTCGGTGAGTGGGTAGGCGTGTGGGTAGGTGAGTGGGTAGGCGTGTGGGTAGGTGAGTGGGTAGGCATCTGGGTAGGTGAGTTAGTAGGTGTGTGGGTAGGTGAGTTAGTAGGTGTGTGGGTAGGTGAGTGGGTAGGCGTGTAGGTAGGTGAGTTAGGAGGCGTGTGGGTAGGTGAGTGGGTAGGCGTGTAGGTAGGTGAGTGGGTAGGTGGGTGGGTAGGTGAGTTAGTAGGCATGTGGGTAGGTGAGTGGGTAGGCGTGTGGGTAGGTGAGTTAGTAGGTGTGTGGGTAGGTGAGTGGGTAGGCGTGTGGGTAAATGAGTTAGTTGGCGTGTGGGTAGGTGAGTTAGTAGGCATGTGGGTAGGTGAGTTAGTAGGCGTGTGGGTAGGTGAGTGGGTAGGCGTGTGGGTAGGTGAGTTAGTTGGCGTGTGGGTAGGTGAGTTAGTAGGCGTGTGGGTAGGTGAGTTAGTAGGTGTGTGGGTAGGCGTGTGGGTAGGTGAGTTAGTAGGTGTGTGGGTAGGTGAGTGGGTAGGCGTGTGGGTAGGTGAGTTAGTAGGTGTGTGGGTAGGTGAGTGGGTAGGCGTGTGGGTAGGTGAGTGGGTAGGCATCTGGGTAGGTGAGTTAGTAGGTGTGTGGGTAGGTGAGTTAGTAGGCGTGTGGGTAGGTGAGTTAGTTGGCGTGTGGGTAGGTGAGTTAGTAGGCGTGTGGGTAGGTGAGTTAGTAGGCGTGTGGGTAGGTGAGTGGGTAGGCGTGTGGGTAGGTGAGTTAGTTGGCGTGTGGGTAGGTGAGTTAGTAGGCTAGGCGTGTGGGTAGGTGAGTGGGTAGGCGTGTGGGTAGGTGAGTGGGTAGGCGTGTGGGTAGGTGAGTGGGTAGGCATCTGGGTAGGTGAGTTGGTAGGTGTGTGGGTAGGTGAGTTAGTAGGTGTGTGGGTAGGTGAGTGGGTAGGCGTGTGGGTAGGTGAGTGGGTAGGCGGGTGGGTAGGTGAGTTAGTAGGCGTGTGGGTAGGTGAGTGTGTAGGCGTGTGGGTAAATGAGTTAGTTGGCGTGTGGGTAGGTGAGTTAGTAGGCATGTGGGTAGGTGAGTTAGTAGGCGTGTGGGTAGGTGAGTGGGTAGGCGTGTGGGTAGGTGAGTTAGTTGGCGTGTGGGTAGGTGAGTTAGTAGGCGTGTGGGTAGGTGAGTTAGTAGGCGTGTGGGTAGGTGAGTGGGTAGGCGTGTGGGTAGGTGAGTTAGTTGGCGTGTGGGTAGGTGAGTTAGTAGGCTAGGCGTGTGGGTAGGTGAGTGGGTAGGCGTGTGGGTAGGTGAGTTAGTTGGCGTGTGGGTAGGTGAGTTAGTAGGCGTGTGGGTAGGTGAGTGGGTAGGCGTGTGGGTAGGTGAGTGGGTAGGCGTGTGGGTAGGCGAGTTAGTAGGCGTGTGGGTAGGTGAGTTGGTAGGCGTCTGGGTAGGTGAGTTAGTAGGTGTGTGGGTAGGTGAGTGAGTAGGCGTGTGGGTAGGTGAGTGGGTAGGCGTGTGGGTAGGTGAGTTAGGAGGCGTGTGGGTAGGTGAGTGGGTAGGCGTGTGGGTAGGTGAGTGGGTAGGTGGGTGGGTAGGTGAGTTAGTAGGCATGTGGGTAGGTGAGTGGGTAGGCGTGTGGGTAGGTGAGTTAGTAGGTGTGTGGGTAGGTGAGTGGGTAGGCGTGTGGGTAGGTGAGTTAGGAGGCGTGTGGGTAAGTGAGTGGGTATGCGTGTGGGTAGGTGAGTGGGTAGGCGGGTGGGTAGGTGAGTTAGTAGGCGTGTGGGTAGGTGAGTGGGTAGGCGTGTGGGTAGGTGAGTGGGTAGGCGTGTAGGTAGGTGAGTGGGTAGGTGAGTTAGTTGGCGTGTGGGTAGGTGAGTGGGTAGGCGTGTAGGTAGGTGAGTGGGTAGGCGTGTGGGTAGGTGAGTG